GAGATTCAACACTTTGACCGACGGCCTACCAATATCGCCCTGCCAGGGCGCCACCCAGAACTGCCCCATGACGAGCCGATCCAACTTCCCCTTGCAAGTAGTCCACATCAATGACGTTCCAACCCAGGCGTGCCTCTCGCCCTCTCGAAGACCCTACGGCACGCCTCGATGGGGGTGGGGGGGGGGAGGGAGCAGGAGCACCCCCACGCATCAAGCCAGAGACCGTATCAAGGAGTGGCTTGATACGTCTCATCCCGGAAAGCTCAGGACGACGCCGCATGGCGCCGTTTCGTGCATCCCGGAGCGACGGCCGCACAAAGGGATTGCCTCATCTCCCGAGGATCGGTCGCTACGCCCGCGTACGACCGACCCTCATACAGTAGCATAAAAGCACCTGGCCGATATCCGGCCAGGGGAGGAGAAAAAGAAACTCCAACCCGCCATTGACTTGATCGTCGGAGGGACCAAAGTCGGGAAACACCCGACGATGGTCTTTTTTGCAGGAAAGTTGTCATCGCAGGCAAGAAGGTGCTCGTCAAATCCCCGCTGCTGATGCTAAAAGTGGTGTTCGATCGATCTCCAAACTCGGCTCAACCAACCAGAGACTCCAGACATTGCTCAGTGGACCAAGCCGTACTGACTCTATCAACCACGGCATATCGATCCATCAATAGTAGTATTGATGGAGATAAGTCCTGTAGAAGAAGAAGTGGGAGTCCCTATAGGAACTAGAATATCATAAGAAAGAACGAAGACATCCCAGTTTTTTTTTTGTTTGCAGACCGGTGCAGCAACGTCTCGGATGCTCATGTCACAGAAGTTGGAGAATGAGAGAGGGAAGAGGCTGCTGCAGCTACTGCAGTTTTCTGCTGCAGATTGTGCACTAATGCTGCAGTTTGCTGCTGCTGCAGATTGCGCACTGCTACTGCAGTATGCTGCTACTGCAGTTTGCTGAAGGGAGCCTGGAAGCGACCACAGCAGAGGAAGCTGCCGGCAGCTGCTGTGGGCCGGGAAATGGCCACGGAGATGTCGCAGCGTCCCGGAGATTGTAGAGGCTACGGTTTGCGAGGCAGATCTCAGGTAGATCTGCGCTGCTTCCGCTGTGATTTGAGATGCACTTGGCAGCGAGACAGAAGCCTGCAGCGGTTCCCCACGAGGGTGCACAGCGGGCTTCGCGGGGCGAGCTGAAAAAGGAAGATCGAAGCCGGCGAGAGAGGAGAGAGATCGGAGAAGGATGAGAACCTTATGCTTGATATACGGCTGAGAACGTAGTTGCAGCTTCCTTGTGATTATGCAGCAGAGGAAGCTGAGGAAGCTGCTGCATGGTGGAGGAGTCCCGTCGGCCTCTGGCGAGGCTGGAAGGGGAGAAGCAGCAGTGCAGCAGCACAGCGGCGCTGCCCTTTCTAGCCAGATGAGCCTACCCTTCCTAGCCATATGAGGAGGAGCAGCGGCGCAGCGGCATAGTGGCACTGCCTTTTACAACCGAAGGAGAAGAACAACGACGCAGGTGTCCGCAGGCAGCGGCATAGGTGTACGTATGGACGGGCTTCTCGAACTCGCCCTCCTCGAGCGCACTACCGAGGTTAAGAAGCTGATTTATATTAATAGGATCCTATTTATACGAAAGGATTTTCCTTTAACAGATTATAGGATTTCCCTCAACAGCATCTGCTATCAAAGATTCCGTTATGGCAGAAGAACTAAGTTGGCAATGTTCTGTGCACGTCTATTGAGTGACACCCAGAGTAATCAGGTAATTAATGAGTCATTTAATTGATATGGCTCATCTGTTCGATTGATATATAATATATGTAGATAGTAATTTATATTTCAGCGAGAATTCGAACATGGGAAGTTTAACATGGGAAAGAGAATCCAGATGTCAGTGTCGAAGATTCAACTGGCTACATAAAAGAACACCACCTTTGATAAAGGGAAGGAATTTGTGGAGCTTTTCATCAGTGATGGATACAGTAGTGTTCCAAAATTACGGAAAGAGCTACACTTGGCAACTCTGAAGCCATTTTGGATGCTATATAACTCGACTAATAAATTTGACTCACCTATCGCGTTACTGCAAAATATTAACATATGGCAATTTATGATCCTTTAGAGATTAATGTTTAGAGAACTCTTTCGTTGGAGGTAAAGCTTTCTTGTAGAATAAGAAAAGCGTGCATGATTTAGCAATGACTTGTTGATGAAAGCTAAACATCATTCATTACAAGGGAGTAGATTCAATGGACCTCTTTATTTAAGTGTAATGTCATGCAGTCAAACAGTCTATAAATTATTGAGTTCTTTTTGTAAGAATACGTAACCAAGTAATCGACAATTTCTTTTCCCAATAGTATATAATTTTAACTTCAAATATAAGATTATAGATAATTTAATAATACACAGGTCAATCAAATAAATAACAAAATAATAAACATATCACGAGATAAAATTTACATTAAAAAAAATCCTTCGATCAAATCTTCTACTTTAGAATAACGGGATTATAAAGTTTTCTCTCTATACTAACTAGAGGATATCAAATACTATATGAAATTAATCACTCAGATAAGTTTTAAGAAGTCTAGAAGAAAAAATCAAGTAAAAAAAGAAATCTCAAATATCTACATCAATGAATTTGGAGAGCATGATGTCTAGATCAACATATCAGAAAATCATAGCAATCGGATTTGAATTTGATAATTAAGTATCAAAAAAAATTTCTCTTTAAATGAAAATCTCTCTTCTTATGATTTTATTTTATTTTTTTCTAATCCAATCGCACATTAGATTAGGATTTAGTTTTTAATTAATCTCATAGATCCATAACATAGGCGGGATCATCCAATAAATCTTAAAGTACAATCATCTGCAAAGTCAAAGTTATCATAATATCATGATTTGCAACCTCGAGGTAAGCGTCACCAAGTTCTTTAAATACAGGCATCACTTGATGGATATAGCGATAGCAACACAATAATGTTATTACATGGTGTAGGAGACACCAACCAATCAAACGAACATAACCGGAAGCCAAATGTATCCAATAAGCGCATTTGACATAGTAAGATGCAATTGCACCATCCATATCCTCTTCTAATAGAGCAGATATGTTTGTGTTGAGTTGGATGATACAGCATATGACTTGAGTTATAGGACCTATAGGGTTAATGAAAAATTCTAACCCCAACATAATATAAGGTTAAACGAGAAAAACAAAAATAGGATATCATACATTAAAAAAAAAAAGCAACATTTGTTTAGGGAGAAAAAAGATTTGACGATTGCTTAGTCAAATTAGATATTATTATCATGATTCTAATGATATGTTAATCAAGACACCATACTTTCTGAATTGTTTAGAGTAGATCTTTGAGATTTATTCTTCTACTTGGTTTTTTTTTCTAATTTTTTAAAACTTATATATGTTTTATATGATATTTGATATCTTCTGATATGATTAATCTAGAGAGAGTAAATTTTGTAATCTCATTATTCTATAGTAGAAGATATAATCTGATTTTTCATAGTTTTTTCTCTATGTTAAAAGGTTTTTTTCACATAAATCTTATCTCGTGATTTGCTTAGTATTTTGTTATTCACCCATACCATTAAATTTTATAATATAATTATATTAAAGTATATCTTATCTAATTTATATAAAAAAAAATAAGAAGATTATGATATTTATCGCTTTCCCATATTCAGCACTCTCTCTAATTTTTTTTCCCAACAGTTTGGTGACCTAAGAACAAGTCACAGGAGACCAGCAAATTTTTTATGTAGAAGACTTTACGATTCTAACTAATTGCCCACATATTTATCAGATTTCATTAAGAAGAGCATAAATAGAAAATCTATCAATCTTCTGGACATCACACTTTCATATAGTTACAACTCATATTATATGAAAGTGTCATCATCTTATTTTATAACAAAATATCTCATGACATCCTACAAAATAAAAATACGCCATAAAGATAAAGAACATGTCTTTTGGTATCTTGTCATGTCATAACCATCATCTTGTATCATGTATATCATAACTGTGTCTTGTTATAAACTTTTCCTCCTTTTTTTTTTTGTGTGTGTATATCATAATTTTCTGACAGTAGACTGCACAAAAACTGAACCGCGAGCAACATCGCCATCGTCGCTGAAAGATAACGTACGGGACAACACATTGAAAGAAGCTTCACGTATGCAGGATGACACAAGTAGAGCAAGGAAAATGGCAAACAACCTTCAACTCTAAGATCCAACTTCGAGCACCACTGACTCCCTCAATCTCTGATAGCCGGTGTAGGAATTTGTTGCACGAGTGAGCAAGCTGGCCATGCCAACACTGCGGCTCTGCCCTCTCTTCTTCTGCAGCAACTTTCTAAACTTCTGTAGTTTCTCCGCCACTCGCTTCATCGTCGGCCTCTCTTCCTGTTGACGACAAACGCATTGAATCGCAAGGTCAACGACTTTTCCCAGCAAATCCTTTCCTCCTTCTTCCACAACTTCCTCATCCAAAATGTCCAGAAGATGTTGCCTGCTCATCAATGCTAATGGCACATCATCCCAGATCGCCTTCTTCCTGGTCATCAGTTCTAAGATAACGACTCCAAAGCTAAAGACATCGGTTTTCTTGGTCAGCCTCCTTGTTTCACAGTAAACAGGGTCTACGTAACCGGGAGTGCCCTGCACGAAACTTACGGTCTTGGTTTCATCTGTTAGCATAAGCGTGGATGCGCCGAAGTCGGCTACTTTTGCCATCTTGTTCTCGTCGAGGAGTATGTTGCTTGACTTCACATCCCCATGAATGACCGTATGAGACGTGGATGAATGCAGATGAGCAAGTGCTTCCGCCGATTCTGCTGCAAGTTTTAGACGGATGTCCAAGGAGATGGCCGATCCTGAATCTTGTTTGTGGATGAAGTCAGAAAGGGTCCCGTTGGGGACGAATTCATAGACCAGCATGGGAATCTCCTCCTCTAAACAGCAGCCAAACAGTCTGACTACATTCTTGTGGTTGATCTGCGAAAGGATGCCTATTTCATTCAAAAATTCTTCCTTCTGTCTGAACTGGGAAGCTGTTCCACTTTGTCTCTCGTCAGTCACCACAGTCCTCTTGATGGCCACCACTCTGTCGTCCTCCAGGATCCCTTTGTAGACTCTGCCATGGCCTCCGCGTCCAATGACTCCATCCTCATGGAAGTTGTCTGTCGCCCGTTGGAGATCTTGCAGTGAAAATATTCTCATCCTATGGACTTGTCTGGACATCATTTTGTCATACAATATCCAGTCACAATTTTCTCTGGAAAGTTTCTCCTTTTCCATTGTGAGCCTTCTCTTTTGCAACACTAAGAGCACCAAAATAAGAGCCAACGCAGCGAGGAAGGCGCTGCTGATGCCTAGATATGTGAGCGAGCAAAGCCAATTGTTAGTCAAGCTAGTGAATGGCCTTTTTGCTAGGAATGGATTAAAGTAGAGAAATTACCCGCGATCACCTTCACTGCAGACGGGGTGTTGGGGATACATGGCGCAGCTAATGGGTTACCACGCTCGCCGGACCGGCATGCACATCGGTAGCTCCCTGGAAGATTAGTACAAACTCCATAGCAAGGGTACGTCTCCGGAAGCGTGCACTCGTCGATATCTGCTACACGACAATAGCGTTACTTCCTTCTCTATCAAACAGTCACTGAGAAAGAGAATGGGTGAAGGGTCAACCTTGGCATCCTTTATCGATGTAGGGATTGCCTTGGTATCCTTGTGAACAATTACAAAGATAGCCTGCGTCATTCCTGGAGTTGATGCACGCACTATTTTCACTTCGACACGCATAATTTGTAGAGCGCGCTGCTTCGTCGCATGTCGCGACAGCTCGGAAGGCCCAGTCCAGCCACAAAGGCATGGATGAATTCTTATCCATCATTAGATTGGCAGCGCTGAAGCTGAAGTAGTCGTGATCCACAATGAAGGCATAAGTACACGGACTGAAATCCAACATAGAGCTATGACTATAGTCTTTGAATAGAAAGGAACTATCGCTGAGTTTCGCAGGGAAGCTGCTCTGGCAACATCCTATTCCGTCGCAAGCCCCGTTGATGACGCTGGTGACGTCTCTGCAGTACGATAAGCAACCGACGTAATAGTGGAAGGGATAGGAACCGCTACCGTCCTTCTCGCTTTGAAGGTACACCAAGGAGTTGCAGCCGATGATGGTGAACTTGTTGCGATCGTTGGAAATCTTGTAGACTCCATTGATGTTGTAGTTTATTTCCGGCAAGTTGATGCTCTCGGTTCCGGACTCGTTGTAGCACTGCCAAGCGACGGGAACCTGCACGCGAACCTGGCCTTGCGGCAGCGAAATCTCGGTCACTTCGATGTCGCTTGCGCCGAGGAACGCTCTCGGAGGGCCGCCGGTCGACTGGTTGCAGGTGATTGCAAATCCATCTCTAAAGCAACCGGGCTCGATGCCGAAGGGGTATGGGATGACAACTTGGCCGCACTTCCCGGAGCAGTTTTGGGATGCTGCATGCACTGCTGCTGCAAGTGTCAGCAGGATGGAGAGGATCATTTCTCTCGATCTACTCATTAGCTGGAGTGATGAAACAGATCCCTGCTCCTGCAAAGACGATGAACTTGATGTTAAATATGCATACCTCAGCTTCGGTGACGGCAAGATTACACCGAGCATTTTTAATGACCGAAGAAGTCAAACTCCGAGCAATCCATGATTCACATTATAGGATCTGATGCCCTGACATTATTATATCTGATATAAGAAGGGCGAAGTTTCTGCTTTATTTGGATTGTTGTGCAGGAAACTCCCGCCCACTTGCGACTTCCGCGTAGTCGTTGCATGGTTAGGTTCGAAAGTTGGAAATTTAGATCAATTAGGACAAGAAAAACATCAAACCTAAAGCGAGCGTCGGTCTGAACAGGTGGCTGTTGACAAAAGCATGCCGTGGTGGACTCGAGAAAATGATCCATATCTTAAGAATGTTCTCTTTATTTGATCGTTAGGATTCTAATTAATATCACAATGGCTTGTCATATTGGGTGCCGCAAACGGCTTCATGGTGTTAGAACTACGTATATCTATATTAAGGGTTGTCATACTCTCTCTTCACAAGCCAAAAAGAAAAATAAAAATCCCTTTAATCCTTCCTTTTTTACATATATATATTGCTAAATAAAATGAATAGAAAATTCACCCCTCAGGTTAGAAAGCATGAGCGAAGAAATGTGAGAAGGTCACTCCCCTCTTCAAATGTGCTGGAATCATGCATTAAAATAATTAAAAAAATTATGAATGTTACATATTAGCATCATAATGCTATTATCATTCAAAATTATAAGAAAATATCTTGGGGTTTTACTATGATCTGATAAGATTTTCGTCAACCAGACTGATCGGCACCTTCAACCCACCATATTATTGTAACATTCAACCAACCATATTATTGTGGCAGGTAAGGCCAGTTTTCAAGTCCTTACCAGAAGACAGGTCTTACTCAAATATATTGCTCTGATATGAAGTGTGGTCACCTGTGTTCACATGGTTTGGATTCAGCGGGCACGCATGCCTACGTAGTTATGATATGGAAGACTGCTTCTTAAACAAGCATTACTTGGACCCATCATTTCTACTAATGCGAGTCTTTTAACTCCATCAACATAAACATTTGTTCCGAAATAGATAGCAAGCACGAGGAATCTTCCCATTCAAACTAATCTTGACTTGTGTTAACGATTGAAGACCGAGTCAAACGAGGCAAGCCTAGATTTGCAGGGATCTAATTTGTTTTAACTATTCTTCTAAGAAATATTTATATTTCTGAGATAATATATATATATATATATATATATAATAATCTCATATTATCTGAAAGAGTCAGGATATATGCTTTTGGATTTAATTGATATTTAATCTGATATATATGAATCTGACTCAAATTCATCATTGCTAGGTTTTGATATGGTATAAGAGTCATATAGATAAATATATTTAAATAGCTAAAATGAGAGAGAGAGAGAGAGAGAGAGAGAGAGTGAGTGATGGACCTAAGATTAGGCTTGGTAATCAAAGTTAAGGTATGATTTAATTAAATTAAGATAAGCTATACCAGATGGATAGACATAAATTAATGAACCACCTAGTAACACCATAAAAGATATGCATTAAATTTGAATTCTTAAAGATAAAGAGAAGAATGAATTCACATGAATAAACGAAGATATTAGTGATATTTATGTATGTGCGGGGAAAAAAAAAAAGATAACTCGAGAGTATACCTTTGTAAGATTTTAGATTGAATTGATATTTAAATATGATAATGATATAAGTACTCTAACCCATTTAATTCAAATCTATTGTAACTAAGATAAACTCATAGTCAAACTCGAGCTCAAAGTTCCTTCGGATAAAACATATGCAAAGTTGAGAGTGATTATAGATTATATGGTTAACTATAAACAGTATTTCAGTCCCTATATTTTAAAAAAATAGAATTTGGGTCTTACTTTATTAATAAAGGTAAAACATTTAACCTCATTTCTTCTTACGTCATTCACTCCGTCCACGGGAAAAAATATACGTTTTATCACAGGCAAAAAAAGCACGAATAAAAATAATAAAAATATATTTTTTTAATTATTAAATTTATATTCTTTAATCGATTTCTCTTTTTCTCCTCTTTCCGACCTACTTCTCGTCGCTCACCCACCGCACCCACTCGACCTACATTGCTCAACCGCTACCTCTCCTGCACTGCTCGACCCCGTTGCACCGAACCCACTCGACCGTTACCACTCTTGCACTATTCAATTGTTGCATCTCCTACACTACTAGCCATCATTGTAGCGGACTTGCTTGATCGTTGTTGCTTCTACACCGCTCGACTGCTACACCTACACCGCTTGCCACCATCGCACCGAACCCAGCTTGCTTGTCATACCCTACTCGCCTATCGCCCTAGCCGATAGTGATCTCGTCGTCATCAGAGAAACTTGCTGCTTGTGCGTCTCCACTTCAGAATCAACCCACCTCCACCAGTGCCACAACAAATGTGCCCAATTATGCGACGAGCAAGCAATGGGCAAGTAGGTGCAATGGGCGTGTGGTGCAAGTGCAATGATGATCTAACGATGCAAGAGCAATGGTTGAGTAGTGCAGGTGCAACAACAACAAGCAATGCAGGTGTGGCGACAACGAGCGACACAGGTACGATGGTGATCGAGCGGTGGAGGAGCGATGATGATCAAGTGAGTATAGTGGACAAGTAGCGGACAAATAGGATAGAAAGAGAAGAGGAAAGAGAAGAGGAAGAGAAATTAGTTAGAGCAAGAAGTGGATATAAATTTAATAATTTAAAAAATAATAAAATTGTATTTTTATGCTTTTTGATAGCACAATTCGTAACGTAAAGCGTGATCTGAAAAAACATATGAGGTCAGCAACTCTCACGAACTATGAGCTATGAAAGATCAAAAGATGGACCATAAGTTTGAAGAACACATCAACCTCCATTTTGCAATCAAGAACTTTAATTTATTTAGAGAAACAAATAGCTAGTTAACAGACGTAATTTGCAAAGCTGTTTTATGAAATAAGAGATATAAATGCCATAAGACAAACAAAAACATAAAAATTGCAGGAAAATTAGTACCACCATTAAGTATAACCATTACATACCAAAACCTCAAATATATATAATCCAAAATCCATCACAGTAAAAACAAGATAGCGTATTCTTTAATCATATTTTAAAATGATAGGTGAAGTAACTTTTATCAAATTCACGATGATGTTTTTTTTTTCATACGACAAGATAGTGAGAATAATATCTCATAGCACCCGTACTCTAATCTTGATCAAAAATTTAAAATTATAACTTGATTTGTCACATTCCTCTACCAAATTTAGTACATATGATCGAATTCATAAATAAAAAAATTCCATGTTTTCTTATGTTTATGATGAAATTCATAATATAAATTATCAATTAAAATCACAATATCAACTAAGATACTGTTAAATCTTGAAAAATATACTTTATTATAGAGTTCGTGAGGAATCCAACGGTGTATAAATAATCAAAATTAGACTTAAAATTATTAAAAAAAAAAAAGAAACAGATTACAAATCCCCAGATTTTGCAGAATAGCCCGCGTCTACCTTCCTGGGCTGGATCTCATCAGGTCCGGCCCGATAGAATTGGACCGCACTGCTTCGCGGACGCATATGCTCGGCTTGTGCTAGCGCTGATCCGGTCTGGCCGCCCGCGCTTGGGGCTGGCGGTTCGGCTCGCCTGGGTTGAAACGGGCCGAACTACGAATGACGACTTAGCAACACTAGAAAACGATGTAGCTTTTCTCCGTGTGCTACCTCTTGTAAGACTCAATTCAAATGTGACGAACTCAAGACCATTGATGACATCCTCTTCGCCAAGTATTAAATTATATTATTAAATATTAAATTAGAATTTATAATTAGAAAAAAATTTAGTTGGAAAGTCATACGAGTTCATGTCATAATTAAAGTTAAATTCTTGAATTTACTCCTCTATAAATAAAGGATTTATGCAATGCCTTATGCACATAATTTGAGAGATGAGATGAATTCAACATAACCTTAGAAATTCATGAGAGGAGAGATTGCAAGTTTTCATATTTAATAAAAGCTTTTAATTTTAAAAAAATTATCTATTCTCTTCAATACTCTATGATTTTTTTAATATGATATCAAAAGTTTTTTTATTTTTAACACTAAATATTTGAACTCGTTCTTCTTACGCTTTACAAAATATAGCACTTACTAGCCCTTGAGAAAGTTTTTGACAATTTTATATTTTTTTCTATTATATTTACTATGTCACTTTCGTAATTTTATTAGATGTGTACGCACCAATGTAATAGGTTACATGACGTTTGTCATTTTTGTTCTTGTAACTCTGTTTTTAAAAGTATTGTATGATTAGTATTTGGGGCCTTTTTATTCAAAAAAAACATAAAACATCAATATAATTCGATCGATACAATAAAAACCTATTCTTTTGCACCCTCGTGTAGTTTTCTAATTTTGTATTATTATTTTAATTTTATGATTTGATCAATCCAACTCAATTTAGTTCTTTACAGGTAAGATGTGCAACGTTGAACGAAAAGCTTAAAATGTTCATATAATTATTGACCTACATGAATATTGCCCTCGAGTGGAGTACCTAAATAGATTTTCTAATGCTAAATTTCGAGATGAAAAATAAGACTTTCAAGTAAATAGTAATTGATATCGATCATAATGACTTAGCTCACAAAATATAATATTGAATTGATAAAATATTATTTTAATAATTTATATTGAGTTGATATTTATGACATTGAAATGTTAAAGCGGGCTTGTTCCTACTCACTAACCGTGAGAGTAAATATTTTCTCAAACAATCAGTATATTAAGTTAAACACTAGTTTTGCACTTCTTGGATGATAACTATTGTTTCTGATTTAAATTTTTCTTGAGAAATCCCCTTTGAAATGATAAACGAAAATGTCCCCTTATCTCATTATTCCCACTTAAAGTTATTATTATTATTATTAAATAATGAGCCTTAAGTGGGGATAGTAATAAAGAAAAGGAGATTTAAGTTTTAAGAAAAGAACGGAAGAAGCCCAAAAAGAAAACAGTGCAAATCATTAATATAGTTTAATATTTGACCGAGCAAACATGGAATTTATCTCTGACAAGACTTGTAGAGGCAGAAGACTACTCTAAAACGAAACGAGTCTGACATGAGCACGGACATAGTGGGAATCCCACGCTCACTGCAGGTGCTCCTCCTACCAAATTGCCGTGCCTAACGGTCCTTCATACTTTAGGTACCATTCCACTGATCCATGACTCGAAGGAAATCAGCGAAAGCGGACGACTGCACCCATCACCAGAGCTGGACCCGCTCGGCTTTGGGACAAATCCAGCAGCCTAACTTCGCATGTGGAAGAAGAGATGCACGTGGCGGCCATTGTTCAAGGCCTTCACGAGTGGCACAAGACACTTGCTTGGAACAGGAGCTATATGCTCACACCTCCCTTGCGCACCACCATGGGCCAGGAGTTGACCCTTCCATCGTTCTGAACATTGGCATATCACTTGGATCTCATCCAGTTATTCTCCACCCAGCATCAGATGCATTTTACGGAAAAAAGATCTTGTGAATGAGCAGTGTTGCAGATTCTGGCATATGTATGTTACATGTTCAAACTTCAGACTTGTTAATCCCCTGAAGAGAGAGAGAGAGAGAGAGAGAGAGAGAGAGAGAGAGAGAGAGAGA